ATGGGGGGTGTGGGGAGAGGATGGGTCTGGCTTTATCACAGATTTCTGGGAATTTATAACCCGCCTACACTGAGCCCTGGTGGCGCAGTGGTTAAGAGCTCAGCTTCTAACCAAAAGGTCGACAGTTCAAATCCACCAGCCGCTCCTTGGAAACCCTATGGGGCAGTTCTGCTCTGTCCTGTAGGGTCGCTAAGAGTTGGAATCGACTCAACGGCAACAGGTGTTTGGTATGCTGAGCAGTCAGAAACCACAGCCCAGAGTTTTCTCCTGCCCCAACCCAGTACTGGTCCCTGTCTCCTGCGTGCCCACTACCCCCTACCATCCCTGCCGCAGGAGGGCGGCAGCCCTGTGCCGGGTGGTATGGAAGGGAGGGCGGCAGCCCTGTGCCAGGTGGTACGGAAGGGAGGGCTGCAGCCCTGTGCCGGGTGGTACGGACGGGAGGGCTGCAGCCCTGTGCCGGGTGATAGGGAAGCGCCTGGACCTCACAGCCGGAAGGCTGGCCGCCGCCTCCTAACTGTTCTCTCTACTTCTCACTTCTTCCTTTCCTCAAATTCACCACGTGTGGGGCTCATCTTTGCATAACCTACAGCTTCCATGAAGTCGCACGCTGCTCTCAGTGGCTTGGATGTCCCTCTTCCCACAAGATAAAGTGTCTACTCCTTGGCCCAGGTTAAGGGGCCTCTATCCCCAACACCCTGCTCCCCAGGCCTAGCAACTTCCACACCCTCCACCTTCCCCAAGGTCGCCAGCAGCCTCCTTATCACTAATCAAATTGGCATTCCGGTGCCTCTATGTTAACCAAACCCGTCGCCTTCCAGTCGATTCCGAATCGCTCAGTTACTCAGAGCAACCCTATAGGACAGAACAGAATTGCCCCATAGGGTTTCCAAGGCTGTAATCTTTTACAGAAACAGACTCCCACATCTTTAGAGCGGCTGGTGGGTTCGAACCACCATATTGCCTGCATAAAACATCTGACCCTTCAGAGCTCATTTCTTCCTGTTAAAACCCTTCTTATTATTAAGCATAGTTTTAAATAGGCAATATATTCATGTGGTTACAAAATTTTTAATATTAAAAGATATATAGTAAGAGTCTCCCTCCACCCTCCCACCCCCTCCTCTCCCGCCTCCTCACTCCCACAACACTTAGCTAGCATTACCTGTTTGTATACCCTAGCAGAGTTTGCTCCGCACAAATTAACTGAATACAAATAGATCCCACTTTCCGCCATTCTTAAGCAAGAAAGGACATTTTTCCATTAGGGTGGCTGATATTTTAACCTATTTCATTATTTTAAAAACAGCTCTGAATTTATTAGTGCTGCTCATTTGCTAACTCATTAATTTCTGCTTTTACCTTTATTAATTCCCTTTTGCTTTCTTTTCATTTATTTTCTCCAAACTTAAATTGAAATGCTTGATTTATCTGCTCTGCCTAGTTTTGTTGAAGTACTTAAGCCTGCCTGTTTTCCCTGAGCACAGCTGGGAACCATGTTTTCTGATATGAAGTGTTTTCATGATTTTCTTTTAGGGATTCCTTCAGTTTTTTTTTCCCCAAGTGGGAGAAGTTTTGGGTTTTGATTTGTTATTAATTTCTGCATGATCAAAATATTTGTATTAACCCTACTTTTTCAAATTTGAAGTTTCTCATGGGTACCATATGTAAACTTTCACAGGTATCCCACGAGCACTTGAAAGGGTTATATTCTCTATTTGGAGGGTACAGAGGCACCTATCACCCTCCCCCACACCCCCAGCCTAACCTCTGGTCTCAGTCCCCATCCCAATATCAGGGCTCCCCATGTTTCCCCCAAAGCACCCCCTTCTCCAGGGCTCCATGCACGCTATTGCCTGTGTCTGTCTAACACTCCTGTGGCCGTTGAGTCGATTCCAACTCATAGTGACCCTATAGGACAGAGTAGAACTGTCCCATATGTTTTCCAAGGAGTGGCTGGTAGATTCGAACTGCCCACCTTTTGGTTAGTAGCCGGCTCTTAACCACTGCACCACCAGGGCTCCTGGATTTAACACGGCAGCAGCAAAAAAGGTGCTCACACCAGAAGCCGTCTGCTTGCAGGAAGCCTTCCTACTCCTTCTCCTCTGCGCCCACACCCCAAACCAACCTTCTGATGATGTGTCTCCTCTGTGCCCCACCCTCATGAAACAATTCCTCCTCTCACCTTCAGCAGGCAGTCAACCCCACAAGGGCGGGCGTCCCACCACTACTGGGAGCAGACCCCCAGCACCCAGCATCACACCCAGCAGAATTGGTCACTAACCTTCATTCTGATGGACCACTCCCTAGCTGAGGCGGCCTGCCCGTGCTTCCTCTGCTACGCCTTGAGTGCCCATCTCATTCACTCCGAGCCCTGCAGCACCACCCTCGGTCCCCGTCACCTGGCACTTGGCACAGACAGCCTGGAGCTTCCAGAGCTTCTGTCTCCTCTCAGCTCCCCCAGCTGGAGCACAGCTCCTGCCCCAACACACAGCCATGCTGGCACCCGAGCGGGTCGGAAGAAACCAGTCCCACCCTCAGCGATGACGGTTCAGTGGGGAGAGATGAGAACTAAGCACATTCTGCCCCAGTTCTGGCTTGACTGTGGGTGGGAAATGAAGGCATGGAGCCTACAGCGGTCGCAGCTGGACCACTCTCCTGTCCCAAAGAGAAGCAGGAGCCCCACCGTCCCATAAGGGTCAGGCAGGTGGTGGGGAAGACAGACCACCTCTTCCAAGAGAGTTAGGTGACTCTTCAGGCCCTGACTTGAGCCTGCTACCCTCTCTCCGAAGACCCCCAGGCCCAGCGTGGCCTGAGCATAACCCAGCTTACCTGGGAGGATCTCGTTCCAGTTGACACGGATATAGCGGTCCCGGTCAGCCCGGGCGTGCTCGTGCCAGAAGCCCAGCACATGCATAAGCTCATGCAGCACAATACCCGGGCCCCTCTGGAGACAGGCGGGTGCCAGGGACACCACCTGCATCCCTCCGCTGCGCCCCACGTTAGAGAAGCACCTGCAGGGCAGGAGAGAGACAGCCAGTGGTTGTCTTCCCTGAGAGGTCAGCAGACCCAGGCACCTCTCCTCCTCTCAAGCGCTGGGATGGATGAACACCAGGAGTCCCCATTCTGGGCTCTAGTCCCAGGTTTGCCGCCCCCCGAGTCCCTTCACTGCCTGGCCTTCTGTGAAATGGGGTAATGGAACCTCACGACCAGCCTGGGCTGCAGGGGAAGGTAGGAGTTGATATTAACATGAATAAGAGAAGCAGCTCCTTAAGTGAGCCTGCCCACGTGTGAACACCAAGCAAGCCTTGCATACATATTGTCTCAGGCCTGTAATGGCCTATAAAGTGGGTATTGCCTGCGCGCTGTCTCAGAGATGAGGAAGAGAGGCTCAGAAGTTGGAGGACTCGCCCAGAGTGACATGGCTCCTGCGTTGTTGAGACAGGATTCAAGGCCAGGTCTTCCCCACAAAGCTTGCATTCAGTCACCCACATAAAGTCTCCCTGATGAGGACTTCGTAAAAGAGGGTCCAGCACCTTAATTCCCGCCCACTTTCACCTCCCACCCTGAATACTTACAGGCCCCTCTCACATTGGGCAAACCCTCAGAGCGGGCAGGGGACTTTGGACCTGGTAGGAAGGGCCCAGAAGTAGGTTTGTAGGCAATAGCTTAGTTAACTCCAGGCTGAACTCGGAAGAAAGTTAAGGAAGCTACCCCCAGTGTGGGCGCTAATGCTCACACACGTACACACACGCGTACACACAGGCCCACGCCCACGCAGGCGCCCACACACCCCGAGGCCTACCCAGAGCACTCACCCAGACATGGGGACGATGGAAATGAAGTCTCTCTGGCCCTCGTAGGAGACGAACTTGACACACGTGAGGCGCTCAAACTCGGCAAACGCCCTCAGGATGAGCTGCCGGCTGAGACTGTCTGGGGGAGACACCGGGCTGGACGCCTGCACACCCCTTTGAGGCCTGCCTGGAGGCAGGGCGCTCTCCAGACTTGGAGTAGCAACAAGGGGCAGCGGGTAGCGCTGGGGAAAGAAGGCTGGGCTCCAGGCAGACCCTGGCTGTATGACCTGGAGCAACCCTCTGGACCAGCTGGTTTCCCAATGGACCAGAGAGTGCCTAAAAGTGCCTTCCGCATCAGCTCTTGGAGGATTTTAACCCTCCAGGCTCAGGAGGCCTTGGCAATAAAAGGGCTCTGATTGAAGGCCTTCAGGGCTGTGATTTGGGTGGCAACGGTGGCAGGGTATGGTGATGGAAAAGAAATTCCGAGAAGGCAGGGCCGTGGTGGGAATAAGGGGCACCCCTGGGTTGAGGCAGTGAGGGAGTACCTGCCGGCTCCCAGGACTCAAAGGCCGGGGATGAGGAACTCCCCCCCCCCCCATGTTCACTCACTGTACTCGCTGGACAGGAGGAAGGGGACCTCCACAAGGCCGCTGCTACTCTTGGGCCACTTGTTACTGGCAGCCGAAAAGAGCTGGAAGGGGCTCTGAGGAGAGAAGTTAGCTCAGGAATCCCTGAGGACAGGCATCCCCCACTTCTTCCCCCAAGGGCTGCCACGCCTCAGGCCATGAGAACCCCAGAGATGGGGGGTGGGGGTCCGGGGCCTCCAAACCAGCAGGACAGCCTGGCTTCCCACCAGGTCACTGTCCTATTCAGGGGCCTGCCGCCATCCCCAGCCGCCGAAGAGATGGCCCTGCTCTCCTGAACACACTCTTTGTCACCCAGTTCCCTCCAGCCTTCTACCTCCAACCCCAGGCAAGATGGTCTCTCTGCACTTCTCCTGTGCTGCCTTCCCCAGGTCAGAGGTCACCACTGCCACCTCGGTCCCTCGCACGCCCCCACCAGCCACTCCGCCACCCTGCGTTCACCTCTTCCTTCATCTCAATACTTTGAGTACCTCCCCTGGGCAGGGTACAGCACTGGGTCTCCAGGGTTCAAGCCTCCTCCTTCAGGAAGTCTCCCAGCTGACTGCTGCTGCCACTTCAGATACAACCCTCCCTTACCGTTAGGCTGGCTAATCCTAATACAGCACTCAGGCTGACTTTAAGAGAGAAGAGAGGTGTCTCTCAAGCTATAAGCACCAAAATCAGCTCCTCGCATGTCAAACCCCCATGATGCTGGAGGTGGGGCCTTCTCCGTAAGGTTACTTACACCAATGTGTGTGTGTGCGTTTGTGTGTGTGTGTACATTTGCATGCACATGCGCTCACCGGCCGGATGATGTCCCCCTCAAGGAGAAAGCCACTCTCTGGCGTTTCCTCTGGGATGAGACCTGGGAAAGAAGGAAGGGATGTGTGTTGGCCCATTACCCCCTGAAGACAGACTCCAGGGACAGACCAGAGGGAGGCTTCACCTGCCAGGCCAAGCAACCCCAAAGGTCTGTCCCTCCTCCAGCTTTGGAGCTAGGACTTCCCTGGGTACTGAGGCTGTATGGTCTCGGGCAAGTCGCACAGCCTCCGAGTCCCAGTCGAAATACGTGTGCTGCTTCTCAGCTTGATCAGATCCTTCCCCTGCTCAAGCACAGCCCCCAGCATCCACAGCTCCCGCACCCACACAATCAAGTCCTAACTCCTCCCTCTTGTGTCCGAGGCCCTCTGCTGTCAGGAGGTGGCCTCTTCATCCAGCGGTCTCCTTCATCCTGCACTCCAGCCCGAGCCCCACAGAAGCCGCCTTGGGCTCTCCTCTCCCACCTCATCCCCCATCTAGTTCCTAATCAGAAAAAAAACAAAAACAGACCTGTTGCCATCCAGTCAACTCCAACTCCTAGTGACCCCACAGGACAGAGTAGAACTGCCCCCATAGGGTTTCCAAGGAGTGGCTGGTGGATTTGAACTGCCGACCTTTTGGTTAGCAGCCGAGCTGTTAACCACTGTGCCACCAGGGCTCCAGTTCCTACCCATCCGTGTTATATTCAGGACACTTAGCCGTGGAGAGTGACAGAAATTCCAATTTATATCACCATAGAAGCTCCACACCTCAGCTTATCTCTGCTTCTCATCTCTCCAACCTCATTGCCTGCCGCAGCAGTCAGCCTTCTCCATAACTTCTTTACATAACAACTCTATGAGGTCAGGAATCTTAGAACAGGGACTGGCACATAGTAGGTGGCTTAGGTTGGGTTCCCTTGAAGCAGAGCCTGAGACAGGGAGTCTTTTGCAAGTGATCATTGGAAGAGTGATCTCTAAGCGTTCTCCTGTTAACCGAAGGTCAGCAGTTCGAATCCACCAGCCGCTCCTTGGAAACTCTATGGGGCAGTTCTACTCTGTCCTATGGGTTGCTAAGAGTCGGAATCGACTTGACGGCAATGGATTTGTTTTTTTTGGTTTTAGTCTCAGGAGAAACTGTAAGAAAGGGAGAGAGGGAAGCAAGAGTGTTGAGGAAGAAGACAGTTCAGCTGAAGTACAAGCTTGCAGAAAGTTCTGGAACAGGACTAGCACCACAGAGTTGTTCCACCTGAGGCGGGAGGCCAGCCTTGCCTATCTTTTATTGTCTCTCATTGGCTGTGGGCCATCTAGGCAGCCGCCTCCCTAGCATCTCTGGCTGAAGCAGCTCGTTTGGCCAAGGACACGTCTCCTGAGCCAGGTGCAGCTGTGAGGCATTAGAAGTCAGTATTCACAGCAGCTGGGAACAGGTGTGTGCTTCCCAGAAAGGGCAGGGGATCAACAGCGCCCACTACAGTCGGCTCACAAACAGTTATTGGGGTACGGCAACTCAACAAGGATGCGTTTGCTCCATGGCAGCTGAAGGTCAACTCAACAAGCATGCGTTTGCTCCATGGCAGCTGAAGGTCAACTCAACAAGCATGCGTTTGCTCCATGGCAGCTGAAGGTCAGTCCCAGGGGAGATTCAAACAGTGACCAGAGGGTGGGCCACCTGTGCTGGGGCTCAAAGTCTGCTCCCGGAAGAGGGACGAGAAAACTTCGCGCAGTGGCTCCCACACTGGGGACTCCCCTTCTGCCCCTAAGGCAAGTTCACTCCCTGTCCCTCAATGCCACAGCTCCAACATCTGAACCCCAGTCTCCAAGTCTACCAGTTTTGTCCCAGGATGTGGATACATTCTCATTCTTCAGCAGAGATCCCAACAGGGAGGCCATGAGCCTCATGCTTCTTTGTACCCGCCCCCACCTCACACTACCACAGAGTGGCTGACACTTTCTCAGACCTTCAGTTATGATTCAGCTCAACACCCAGGCTCAGAGAGGCCCGAGGACCCATACCTTTACCTGAGTCATGCTTAAAAGCCTATGGTTTTTCCGCTTCTGACAAAAGTAATAAACATACATAATCGCAGTGGTTAAGAGCTCAGCTGCTAACCAAAAGGTAGGTAGTTGGAATCTACTAGCTGCTCCTTGGAAACCATATGAGGCAGTTCTACTCCATCCTACAGGGTCACTATGAGTTGGAATCAACTCAATAGCAATGGGATTTATAGAAGATATAGAAAAGCAAGCTTTTTAACAAGGTGGCACGGACCTGCTGCTCACTCAGAGCTGAGGATGCTAGTATACCTCCTGCAGCCTTTCTGCTCATACATGCGTCCAGCAGGGTTCCATCACCCTACCATCTCACGCTCCTCCAGGCCTAGGAGACGTGCTGCCCTCACCTTGGTTAATTGCAGGGATGTCCTTATCCCAGGACCCCTCGGTCTCCTCAGAGGTGAGGTCTTCTGGGGGGCTGCTGTCACAGGCTCCTGGGCAGCTGGAGGTTGAGGGTTCTCCAAGGATCAAACCTGGCCCAGACAGATAGATGCACACACAATGCCAGGAGGGGGGGTGGTGTCAGACCTAAAGAGCCAGCCGCTGCACAAAGTTAGGCCCCCAGCGAGGAGTCTCAGGAGCCTGCCTGGCCCCGCAGCCTGAGCTGGCACCAGGCCTAGGCTACTTCAAGGAAGGAGCTCCCTTAGCAAAACCTACACTTGGTTCAAAAGGCAGCCCTACGCTCTGAGTACAGGTGTGGTGGGGTGGGGATAGGGAGGGGCCAGAAGGAGGGAGGAGGAATGGATCACAGGTGCAGAGCTAACCTCAGACTCTGCTCAGTGGTCTCCTTTCTCAGCCCAGGCTTCTGGAAATCGGGCTCAGCTTGGAGATGGAGCAACCCCAAAGAGCAAGGATTCTGGAGCGCCACACGTGATATCTCTAGCCAGGCAGGTCCTCTGGGATCCCACGGGCTTTGGAAGCCCTGACTCCCACCCTTCGGGCCCCCAAGAGCTGACTTCTTGGAACATTCCGGGAAAGCACCCATTCTCTAAGCCATAAAGATCAATCAGGACCCCCGCAGGCTCCAGCCACAGCCTCTGGGCTTCTCCCAGCCTGAGGCTGGAGCTTAAACCAGGAGGGCAAGACAGTAGCTTACCTGGCAGGCAGAGCAGACCCAGCACCCAAGGCCAGAGGCCTGCAACGCTCTCCATGCTGGACGCCCACTGCCCCTCAGCGAGCAAGAGGACTAACCCACTGGCAGGACAGCCTAATTGCAGGCTCAGGGCCACCCCCTCCTTAAATAGCACTTCCCCTGTCCCCCACCTGTAGGCCCGCTCAACAGCCTCCACCTGCAGCCCCACCTGCTCCTACCTGTGGGTCCCACCCCTGCTCCAGCCCAGGCCCCAGCCTTCTGGACCCTGATGGATTCCTTCCTGGCCAAACGGTGGGAGGGCGGGGAGGGGCAGGACGCAGGGCATCTTGAGGGGCTCCACTTGGGGCGTTGCGCTGCTGAGATCCCTCCCACCACCAGGGGGCAGAGAAACATCGCAGAAAGGCTGGTGGAGGGCTGAGACCGAGGGCTGGAAGAAGCACCTCCTCCACCGGGGGAGACCTCTTCCCGCCCCCCACCCTGTGCTCAGTGCTGGGAAAAGCTACCCGAGACCCTGAAACACCCCCAGCCTAACTGTGGAAGGAAGGAACGGTCACTCAATGTTTCATAAGCTTCTATTTTAGCATACATACAGGGGAGCCTTCGTGGCGCGGTGGCTAAGAGCTTGCTAATGGAAAAAAAAAAAAAAAACAGGTCGGCAGTTCGAATCCACCAGCCGCTCCTTGGAAACGCCACGGTGCAATTCTACTCTGCCCTACAGTTCTACTCTGCCCTACGGTGGCTGTGAGTCGGAATGGGCTCCATGGCAACAAGTTTACGCAGACAGAAAGGTGCAGTCACGAGTCCCCCGCCCAGTGAAACGTCCCAGACGGAGCCACACGGAGCCACCGTGTAACTCGCACCCCAAGAAGCCCACCTGGTGGAAAGGGCACTCACTTTTGGAAACCTAGATCCTCTTCTGGGCATTCCCACTGTCATTCCCACGACCGCCTTGTAAGAGCAGCGTCTATCCCCATTTTACAGATTTGAACACTAAAGCTCATTACCTACACTCCTTGGTTCCCCTTGGCCTCTCAAGAGGCCTCATCCTCACAGCCCAGTCACCCAAGGACCCTACCTGGATTTAAATTCCGGAGTGGAGTGTTTCAGTGCTGGGTGGGATTTGGGGACACACCCTCCTAACCTACACCCAGTGAAGGGAAGTGACTCAGCCAAGGTCTCCCCAGAGGGACCCTCAGCCTTCCTGCTGTGTCTGGAATCCTGTATTCCTCAAAGGAATCAGAATCCCGGAAAGAACACAGTGAAAAGGCAGATGCCCCAGCCACCCAGGCAAGGTACCAAAAAAAAAAAAAAAACCCATTGCCATTGAGTCAATTCCGACTCATAGCGACCCTACATGACAGAGTAGAACTGCACCATAGGATTTCCAAGGAGTGACTGGTGGATTCAAACTGCCGACCTTTTGGTTAGCAGCTGAGGTCTTAACCACCGTGCCACCAGGGCTCCAACCAAGCTGTAAGCTTGACATCCGTGCACTTTACTGTTTAGATAGACAGACAGACAGACAGATAGCTGGCTGCCATCGAGTCAACTCTGACTCATGGCAACACCACGTACAACAGAGTGAGGCCTCGCCGGACCCTGCAGCCTCCTCGTGATCGCGAGACGTGTTGAGTTCATCGTTGCGACTACTGTGCCAGTCCATCTCCTGAGGGTCCCCCTCGCCCTTGGTGGCCCTCTACTTCAGCAAACATGATGTCCTCCTCTAGTGACTGATCCCTCCTGATGACGTTCTCAAAGCAAGCTAGTAGGACAGTGTTCTGGTATGATCCATAAGGTTTTCATTGGCTAACTCTCAGAAGTGGGTCCTAGTCTGCCTTAGTCTGGAAGCTCCACTGAAACCTGCCCACCACGGGTGACTCTGCTGGTATTTGAAATACCGGTGGCCTAGCTTCCAGCATCACAGCAACACACAAGCCACCACAGTAGGACAAATCGACCAGTGGGTGGTGGTGCTGTGAGTTATACCTCAGTAAAATACGATAATGATATTTTTTAGTCCCCCCTTTCTGGGCAGCACGGACAGACCCCCCCATTCCACTCTCTATTCCAGGAGGAATGTCATGGCTCTGCCTACTTCAGGGGGACCAGAAGTTCAAGTTAGACTTTATCTTTGATCAAAAGAAACCAATTGGTACTTAAGAAATGCACTTTGTTTGGAAAATAAACTGCTAAAATGACAGCTAGGGGTGGGTAGAGTGAGGGTGGGAGGGGTAAAATGGAGACAGAGTGGGTAGGGGTGAGGGTGGGATGATCAGGGCCTCAGCCACCAGTCCTTCTCTCTGTGAGATGGGGCCTCAGATGCCCCCACCCACCCCGAGCTGGGTGTGGGAGTTGTGGGAGATGCAAACAGAACCTGCCTCATTCAGGGCCTGAGAAAGCCCTGATAGCAATCCCAGCTCAGCTCAGTTCTCACGTGGGAGACTCTCTCTCTCTCTCTCACACACACACACACGTGCACACACGCACGCACACACATGCACACACGCACACACACACCCACACACGCACGCAAAGAGCAAAAGGAACCAGGCATTGTAGAGGGCAAAGGAGAGCAAGTTGTTCATCTTTCAACAGGCTGAATGCAGTGAGTGCCCACCTGTGCCGGACACAGGGCTGAGCCAGACCCAGAGCTGAGCCGGACACAGGGCTGAGCCAGGCCAAAGCTGAGCCGGACACAGGGCTGAGCCGGACACAGGGCTGAGCCAGGCCAAAGCTGAGCCGGACACAGGGCTGAGCCGGACACAGGGCTGAGCCAGGCCAAAGCTGAGCCGGACACAGGGCTGAGCCGGACACAGGGCTGAGCCGGACCCAGAGCTGAGCCGGACACAGGGCTGAGCCAGGCCAGAGCGGCCTTCGTGAGTGTCCAGCCTGGTGGAGATGAAACCGTATGCCTGCACTTCTGAAAACTGTCACCCCGAGGGCCATCAGTAGCTAACGGTTCCTGAGCACCTACTATGTGCTGGGCTATAGGCTAAGCCCTGCAGGTGAACCGACGCATGTGATTCTCGCTACCACCCTAGGAGGTCAGGGCTCATGTTCAAACCCCATTTTACAGATGAGGAAACAGTGAAGTAAACCAAGACCGGAACCCTAACCATTAACCACACTGCCCCCTCAAGTTCACCATGCCAAGCACTCAGAGTGTAGTGAGTGACACTCAGCTGAGTGAAAGGATGGAGTGGAGTTAGCTGGACGACACTCCGAATGGCCAGGGTGGAAGCTGGGGCGTGATCGGCTCCCGCACAGCCATCCCCCCAGGCCTCGGCACTCCCTGCCTCAGAATAATCGCTGCACCCAATCCCGGCAGCTCCGGGAGCACCTTCTGCTTCTAGATTGGGCTGGGCCCACGCCTCATGTCCCCCGAGACACCCACGTGTCCTGTGCTGGGCACGTAACTGATTTTCATGGAAGACTTGCTAGTTGGGCAGGTGGGGAGAAAAACTAAGCCCATCCCTGGTGACACATCCTCCACACAAACAGCGGGTCATGTGCCTTCTGGGGACAGGAGGAGCTCTGGAGTGAGGGCTGCCACAAGCCCCAGCAGGGACAGGAAGAAGCTCCGGAGCCTGGGCTCCCAGTCTGAGGGTGGGAGAAGACTCAGGAGGCCGCGCTCTTACTGTGAGGATGTGGAGGCCTGGGCCAGCATGCGTGCACACACACACACACGCACACGCATACACATCCACACATACATGCACACACATATGCACACGTGCACACACATACATGCACACACATATACGTACACACATACACAAACACACACACGTATACACACCCATCTATACGCACACATGGGAAGAGCCACGTGCATGGGCTCATGCACAGACACGGAACCACCACACACACGGGCACACGCAGTCACACACACACACACACAGAAACATCGCACACAGGCACATGCACATACTCCTGGGAACACCTACACTTGACACACACACACACATGGGAACACCACACACATGTAGTCACACACACACACTCACATCCCACATGCTCCAAAAAGAAAGCGGGGTCTGACCAGGGCAGCGCCCGGCCCGGTTCTGGGTTGTGGACAGGAGCCTTTACGCCATAGCACCGAAGCCAGCAACCGCGGGCGAGTTCGGAGCCAGCCTGTTAGAAACCACCTCTCTCGGCTCTAGGGACGGAGCCCTGCCTGGGAAGAGACGCCAGCCAGGGAGAGGCACGGGGCAGGCGGGGGACAGCCTCGAGGGAGGGGCACCACGGGGGAGGAGGGACAGGAGGTGAGGTTGGACCTGCCCCTTCCCCCCCACCCTCCCTCCACCCACTCCCCACACATCGCAGTGGAAAGAAAGGTGAGATCTGAGCAAGACGCAGCTTCTGAGCATCTTCCCACGCACTGACTTGAGACCAGAAGCTTGGGAGGCTGCTGTTTTTTTTAAAAACAAAACGGTATTTTATTGACACATCCTCGGTATTCTGTATAAATATAAAGTGCTAAGTTTCCAGCCCCGCCCACAGGGCTGGGAGGAAGTGAGGGAGGGCGTGTTAACTGTCAGTTGAACGCGAACAACCTTCCAGCGCCAACGCAGGCATGAGATGCTCGCAAACACACACACGCAGGCCAGAGGCCGATAAATAGAACATACACAGCACGTTCCCGAGTCCCCAGCTCCCGGGGAGCACAGGGCTCGGCTCCAGGCCCCCAGGGTGACCCCCAGACAGGGCTCCTGGTTGTCACAGCTTGTTTTTGGAGGAGGCTGCTCTCAGGACTCAGCAGGCAGGCTGGCCCAGAAGGAGGCTACCCGATAGAGTTCAGGTCATTTCTGCCATTGGACGAGGGGACGAGGGAGCCAGGCACGGCCTCCATTCTCGTCTGCGGGATGAGGGCCAGCCCTCAAGTCCCTCACAGAAGAGCACCA